TATATATAGTATACATATATATATATATATATATATATATATATATATACATATATATATATATATATATATAATATATATATATATATATATATATATAGTATAGTATATATATATATATATATATAGTATATATATATATATATATATATATATATTATATATGTATGTATATATATATGTAGTATATGTGTATATATAACACATATATGTATATATATATACCTATATTATATATTATATATATATAGTGTGTGTGTGTGTGTGTGTGTGTGTCATATATATATATATATATATATATATATATATATATATATATATATATATATATATATATATAATATAAAGTTTGTGGTAATTTTCGAATGTATTATAAACACATTATATTTATTAGTATAAATGTGTATGATTACTAAGGACAACGAACAAAAATATGTATTTTATTTATTTATTGACTTTTAAACAACTTTGCAGTGACAAAATATAGCATTTCCAACTACTTAAAATAATAACACACAACACACACACACACACACACACCACACACGCACACACACACACACACACAAAAAAAAAATCATATCGCCACACATAACACGGTAATACTGGACGTGGTTCTGAATGAGAACCTTAAATACAATTTCATTTCGTGCGCTTATGAATACCTATTGACCGCACTCGCCATAGGTCCCCATAGAACGTCGACATTCAGAAGCTAAATGAACAGATCGTGTCGTCAGCACAGCAGCAAATAACATTTTTTTGCACGTGAAGAACAAAGCGTGAATTGGCCGCGTCAAGGGTCCTTGCTGACTCAAGCCCGTATGTCTGACGCTTCGCTGATGCTGTCCAACCTCTCGGTGGTGTCAGCCGTCGACATCTGGGAAACGGTTTAAAAGACATTACCAACAGCAAATACACATGTTTACTCACTTATATCTTAAACACAAGGACATGTGCATATGGTAGGATACATGTTTGATATGCAGGATATCTAAACCTTTATCCAATTGGGTTACAAGCCTAAAACTAACATGGGATGTTTTTTTTTCTTTTTGTATACTGAAGAAAATAATGTTCCTCGGATTTCTGATGTCCTAATCATTTATAGAGATCAAAATACGTGTTTAATATGCAGAATATCTAAACCTTTATCCAATTTGTTTTCTGTTTTCAATCTTAAAACTAACATATTTCTTTTCTTTTCTTACTGAAACATAAATGTTCTATGGATTTCTGTGCTAATCATTTATAGAGATCAAAATACGTGTTTAATATTCAGAATATCTAAACCTTTATCCAATTTCTTTTCAATCTTAAAACTAACATATTTCTTCTTTTCTTACTGAAACTTATAAATGTTCTATGGATTTCTGATGTACTAATCATTTATAGAGCAGAGCATTAACGAAATACTCACGGTATATGCATACGAACGGACAACCAAGATATTGTAGGTCAAGGCTGCAGTGAAGAGCACAGCAAGCACTACTGCGCCCAAGATCTGACTGTATGCTACCTTGACCACGTAATTGGCCAGGTCAGTGACCACCAGGACGCACCTCATCCACACCCAGCCCCACACCAGGAAGGGCTGATGCTGTTTAGGGAGAGTTTATGACGTTTATTTTCACATCTTATTGTGGCTGTTATGTATATATATATATATATATATATATATATAATATATAATATATATATCATGTATGCACGCACACTCACATATGTATATATCTAGCTATCTCTATCTACCTATCTGTCTGTCTGTCTGCCTATTTTGTCTGTCTATTTATCCACACACACACACACACACACACACACACACACACACACACACACACACACACACACGCACCACACACACACATACACACACACACACATATATATATGTATATATTTAAAAAAAAATATATATACACACATACATAATACACACACACACATATTCATAATGCATCAGGATACAATACATGGTGGTGCTCACAGCCGTATGTATCTGTATCCAGAAGAACAAGCAATTTACCTTCCTGACGCCATGGATGAGGAGACAAGCCACGAGGAGATGCACGAAGATTTCCAAAACCATCCCCGCCGCAGCCCCGCCTTTGGAGAGAAAAAAAAATGGAAGAGCTATTTATATACTGTCCTTCTCTGTGCATGCATACCTCGCAAAGAAAGAGATGAAAGTATGTGTAATTTAGAGAGAGACAGGGAGGGAGAGAGAAAGTGGGAAAGAGAGGAGAGTGGTGGTAATCCTTCTGAGATTCACAGGGCTAAATTTTGCACACATTTTTATCTATTACAAGAAATATACATCAAAATACATCACTTGTCATTTTTTGGTAGCACATCTGGAGCACCAGTACAGCAGCAATTATCACCTGCAAAACAAAAGAAAAGATATCTGCACATAACCAATATGAAATGCGAGATGCACAGACTGCTACAAGGTCTCATATTCCCTAAGCGGGAGAAGTGGCTTTTACAAGAGTTACGGAAGGGGAAAAAATGAGACAATCCAAGCCTCACGTGTAGGTCTATCACCTAACGTATGTATAATCTAGGTCAACAGTTCTCGGGGGGGGGGGGAATTTATTTGACCCAAAGCGAGGTCGTTCAAAGGCAAGTAGTAAGACCTTAAAGAGCAGCATACATTCACAACCTTCCCATGCATTGCTATTAAAGGACTGATGTTACGCTGCACTGTATTTGTTAAAAAAAGTGGTATCTGGCAGCTCATTCCAATTTTCCTTTTCTATTTACTAAAAGCGCTAATCCACAAACATCAACACTCCTAAGCAATCACCCTTATACATTTATATGAACAATCTATAACAAATTCTTGATGTGTTGTCTACTACCCACTAGTTATATCATGTTTCTAAACTGGATACAGATTACTTAAAAAAGAGAAACATCTGCCAACGTTTTTCAAAAGCTTCCTTCACTGTCAAAGTAAGACATTCTTCCGGTTTCATCTATGCATTCGGATGATTGTTGTGTCTTTCAGTCTGGTTGGGTGAAGGCAAAACTTTGTATTTTCTTTTTAAGAATATGTATGGAATATAACATTTTCATGGAGATACTTCCAGTGTATAATAAAAAACATGGGGTTGCACAGAAACAGATACGTAACTATTCTAGTATCATTGGATTCAAAAAGATATGTCACTTTTTGTGCAGAAAAGATTAATCTCATTTATTAACTAGCGTTTTTTCCTATGATATATAAATAATATAATATATTTCCTATAATATATATATAAATATAATATATATATATATAATATAATATAATAAAATAAATGTGAATATCCCCATGATATTTGAAAACGAAAAAATGTTATTTCAACAAATAGTTGCAAGACGCTAATTGCAGTCCCCAAATCAATGCTTGTACACGCAATGAAGGAGCCTTGTTCAAGGAGTGAAAGCTTCAGAAGCACAATGCTCCGGTAACAGTGCTTTTCTTGGTAGTTGTCTCACTGTTCTATAACCTACCATAAGGTCTTCCATTTAACAATACTAAAAAAAGCAGGATCTACATTTTTAACATCCTCCAACACTCATATATTGCATCTTATTGCAAATCACTGATTGGCTATTAAGTAATAGGTGATTAAGTAATAATCAGGTTTATAATTTTAAAGTTGCCTTATATATATATATATATATATATATATATATATATATATATATATATTATATATAAATATATATATATATATATATTATATCATATATATATATATATATTATATTATATATATATATATGTATGTATATATGACACAAACACACACACACACACACACGTGCATACATATGTCTACAGGCTGATGTTGGTTTACACATTTTGTCTCACCCACTTATATTGGTAACGTAGGAGTGGGTGACAGAGGCGGCGTCCACCTGGAGCCACTGACCAAGGTTAACATCAGGTGGGCTTTGAGGCAGCACGGTAGATTACTCCTACTATTGAGGGAGCTGAATTGAGGGAGCTGAAGCAGTTGGGAGTTGAGGTGGCTACCCTCCCGGAGGTGAGAAGACCTGGCAGCAACACAATCAGTATGGTAGGGTACGTCTACAACGGGTTGAGCAGGGTAGATTGTCACCCTCTCCAGGGAGTAGACATTGACATCTCCAATGACTTGAGTCTTAGGCAGTAGAGGTTTCTCTGGATGCTGAGTTTATTATGGTATTGAGACTAAAGCATGTCTTTGGCTTTATATCTCTTATTGCTGTGTATGTTTGTAAACTCGATGAGAAAGAGGCGGTCTATGTCAAACACACGTCTATGGCAGACAAATGCCCCTGGTGAAACATTTGCACTGTACTGGGTGACTTCAGTGTGGTATCCGGCTGTGATCAGGCCGGCTACGAGAAAGCAGTGGGTCTCCATAGCTTGAGTCCTGATCTCAGTAGGGAGGACAGCCTAATTCTTCGGGACATTGCTAGGTCCTTGAGATTGAAGATTTATGGCTCCTGGTATCAATGCTCCAAACTGCACTGCTTGACTCTGGAGATATGGTTACTGTGGCCAAGGAGGTCGACCACATTCTTGTTAGCACTCACTGGAGTATCCTCCAGAACTGCAGAGTTTACCGGAGTACCGAGTTCTGTGGGATTGGTCACTGATTGGTTGTTGCAATCCTATGGGTCCACTTCAAAACACCCCATGTCTCGAGTGGCCACTCCAGAGTGTTCACTTGGACAGATTGAGGAAGGAATATGCCGCATTTTTCTGAAATGGATCTGCAACTGCCTATTAAGCCACTAAAGACCAGAGCACTCCTGGCCAGTCCACAATATACCGCATCTTTGTGCTTCGAGTCACTGTGGGACTTGTTAGGAGATACAGGCTTGCGGCAAGGACACTGAAGTCACAGAAAGCTTTACATACCTTGGTAGTGCAGTCCATGTCTCTGGACTGTCAGACTAAGAAGTCAGTTGACAGATTGGCTTGGCAGCAAGAGCCATGAACTCAGTCAACAAGAGTATCAGTGCCAGTGCCTATGCAGAAGGACTAAGTTGTGTCTTCAAGGTCTTGATACTGCTAGTTTTGTTCTATGGAAACAAAACCTGGACGCCTTATATATATATATATATATATATATATATATATATATATATATATATATATATATATATATACATACACACATACGCAAGCAGCACAACAACGTAAGAGAGAAGTGGGAAGCGAGGTAGGAAGGTTTAAGTAAGAGGGGAGTTAATTAGAGCGGGAGAAGGAAAGGAAAGGGGAGAAGAGAGGTGAGAGGCAGGAGGAAGAAGAGGGTGAAAGTTTATTTTCCTGTGTAGTTTCCACGGGTCCCGCTAGTGAGTATCATTAACATTATCATATCATTATTTACCATCATCACTTCTTTGTCTCCAATAATACATTAATCCCCAAGAACTCTCTGAAACCTCGACAACCCTCCAAGTTACCGGATACCACATAGGCCTACATACATTAAAAAGGCACATACCTTCACCCTTGTCCTCTTAGACCTACGCTAGCGATCCCAACGACTACTCACAAACTCAAGAGAGGCGATAACCAGAGTTCCCGTCCGGAGTGAACAGCAACAGCAGAACCGAGTGAGGAGGAATCTCGGTCCACCGTTTATGTTGGTGCAGAACATGCTGGCGAAGAGGAAGACGAACCGGAAACCTGAAATATATTTAAGCAGTGCAAATCTCTGTTCGTAGGGGTAGATGATGTATACTTATTTATATATCTAATTAAGACAAGGTGTACGTAATATATCTATATCTATATCTATCTAACTATCTATCTATCTATATATATATATCTATATATATATATATATATATATATATATATTAGAGAGAGAGAGAGAGAGAGAGAGAGAAGAAAGACACAACACACACACACACCACCCATAATATATATGTATATATGTGGTGTGTGTAATCCATACATGCATACGTACATACATAAATGCACACACACACATATCTAAACATATATATTACATGCATTATATATATATATATATATATATATATATATATATTTATATGCGTATTATATATTATTATATATATACATATATATATTATATATATATATATATAATATATAGTATATATACATATATATATATAAAATACACTGATACATATAACGACGCAGCTCATTCTACGCAGCGGGCCAGGGTAGTGGCACAGGATACGGCGACCATCGTATCTTGGATCACCTGACGCTTTTCCGCAACTGCCAGAACGAGAACGACAATTCCATTTCCCTTAGCTTTAGTGCATGCAGAGCGAGTTCGATATAATTGCATATACTATATTATATTATATATATATATATAGTACTATATATATATATAAATATATGCTGTCGTTTGTATTAGTAGTGGTACTGTATATTTATGCAAAGTACGCAAGACATTATACACACACACACGCACACACACGCGACGAACAGCACACACACACAACACACACACACATCACACACACAACACACACACACAGCACACATTAACACACCACACACACACAACACCCACATATATTTATTTAGTATGAGTATATAGGTTTTATACTGCTAGTATATATGATACTTAATATATGTATACCGTATAAT